TCACTGTGTTGGAATAATTTGGGGGCAACCAAGTCCCCTTCTCAGCTATGAAACTCACATGGGCTGGCAACTCTTTCTGAGCCTAATATGGAAGTTGGGAAAATAAATGTGGGGAAAAGGGGGACCATACATGCCAGATTGAGGTGAACAGTACAATGTGAACATAAATAACTAGGCCTTCATTCAGTTCTTGCTTTACAATGTCCTTTCAGTTCCTTCAGATCATATTAAAATGGATATATTGTCAATAACATCTTTTCATTTAAGCTGTAAGAATTTTATAATGGTTCTGTATTATAAGGCATCTGTCACTAGTGGTATGAAAAACATAATTCACTATAGCTGTATAGTAACAAGATAGCAATGCAATGCAGATAAGAGCTTAATATAATCAAGAATATTATGACATAAGTGATCAAGCAGTAATCAATTTACCATATTTTTCTCCTCCCAATGGACCTTTCTGTTAATTAGAACAATACCAGACACATGAAGAGATTACCAAATTGGAATATGAAATCTGCTTAATGGGGAGAATTGTTTTTTTTAAAACAACAACAACACCTCAGTGTTTAAAAATTAACTTGAATTAGTCACTGCAATCCAAAGAGAGTCAACCATACCTGAGATCAGACCCAAATCCCATTGTTGGTATCAATTAGGGAGAAGTCTTTTAATCAACTTACAACTTTGGACTTGGATGGGAGACTGCCATTGAATACTTGCCATTGAAAACTTGCCATTGAAAACTTAGTAAACCAACACTTAATGTAAATAGTAACTAATTACCAGACTTAGGCCAGGATTTTCAAAACAGTCTGTGCTGTGAGCTCAATCAAGTCATTGTACCAGAGCTGCACAGACTACCTGCAGAACCAAGCTAACCCGAACCTACAATTGGAGTTATTTTTATTTTATTTTATGCTGTTTACCAAATCTTTAAGGTCATAGGGGCTTTCCAAGCCAATTTATATAAAGGAAAAGAGAAAAAATAAAACATATAGATGAGCTGAAATGATAAATACTGTGAAATACAATACAATGTTTAAAAAACATCAGCACTTAAAACTTTCTACATAGTAAACTATGGTAACCAAATGGAGACTTGTGTAGCACTATTTTCAAAGTTATTTTTAAAATGTGAAATGGCTGAGCTTCCCAGGGAGTGAGGAGTTTCAGATATATGGGACACCACTGAGAAAATCATGTCCTTGGTGGCTACCTACCTAACCACTATTACCAGTGGATCAGACTAAAAACAAATCCTATGTGTTTTTCTTCCCCCTCTCTCTTCCTCACCTTTCTCCAGTTGCTATAAAGTAGCAAAGTTCCTGGCTCAGGTATCCAACTCTGTGTGTGTGCCTTCAAGTCCCCTGTCAACTTATGGTGACCCCATCAATGTCTGACCCAGTAGTTGTTGACAGAAGATAGAATACAAGAGAGTAACCCCATGGAAACAGCAAATATTATATAGAGTAGGGAGACAGGGCTGGCCCTACAATTAAACAGAATTAGGTGACTGTACCAAACATACTTTGGGAGTCTTGCAAGGGCAGCAAATTGTTAGCATGTAATTTGTTGCAGTATTTTTGTTACCAAGGAGAGTAGAGATGCGTATGGGGTTTATTATTATTATTATTATTATTATTATTATTATTATTATTAATCATGCACAAGAACAGCTTGGCTAGTTTTGGGTACTCATACAGTTTGAGTTCAGTAAGCCAGGCTTTGCTGTTTACTGTTCTGCCTCTAGTAGTAAACTATCCTTGGCAGGTCCCTGATCCTAGAGTTGCTCCACAGACAACCTCTTTCCATTGTGTTGCCTTTCTGCTTCAGATATCCATCTTATATTAAATCTTTATTGATGGACCACTATTGTCTCTTGCTATCTTAGGGTCTTATCACATTAGATTCTTCTCCTGATAAAACAACATTGCTTTCAAAAGCACTATGCAATCAGGACTACTCCCTTCCCTGTCGTGCCTTCATAATCTTTCTGGCATTGCAACCTTCATTCACACTAAAACCTTATGACATGCAGCACTTGGCGTTGCCCACCCAGTACCACCCCCTTTCCTAGTATGGAACACACATACACACATAAATCCCCAGAAATATAAATTAAAAGCAGTCTTAAATTTATAAAGCCTTTTTTTATATTGTGGAGAGGTGAGAACTTCCTGATTCAGGATAGATTTGATTAATCACTAGAAGATGAAAGCCATCAGCTAAAGTAGCAATTAATCTTCCAGCAATTAAGCAAGTCTAGGAACAGCAGAATAATTAAATAAATGCTGTTTTGTTTTCTGCTTACATTTTAAGAGATGTGGTGGGGGGGAGTGAGAGAGAATGAGAGAGAGATACTTGGGAACTGGGCTACTCCCCTGGAAAAGGAGGCAAGAGGGCAGTGAACAAAGTTTTCCCTTCTTGGCTTTCACCTCTTCTCCTTCTCCCCAATTACTGTTAAGCAAAGGCCACCTAAGCCACATCTACAGAATGCCCACACACTGACCCAGGGGTCAGCAGCCTACGGCCCGCGGGTTGGGTCCAGCCCCCTGAGGCCTTTGGACCGGCTCCCACCAACCCCCACCACCGCCGGAGTACTGCGCATGTGCTGCGCATTTTTAGGAGTACTGTGCATGTGCAAACGAGTCATGGCCACCATTTTGGAAAACAAAATGGTGGCCCGCAGAAGACCAGGGGATCCTCGGACCAGCCCCAGGTAAGGGGAACTTGCCAACCCCTGCACTGACCACTCAAAATCAACATAAAAGTGCAATTGAACTTTCACACAGGAAACTGTAGCACAACAGAAGTGGGAAAGGAGGTCACTAACAGATTTTTGTGTGTGTTAATAAAAAGAAATGATTTCCAAATTATCTCCCATGAGAGAATAACAGAAGAGCAGCAGTATTTTGCAGTACTAATGTGTCACCATGATGGTATAATGCCATGGTGTGATAAGGCTACAGTTCTCCTTCTGAATTAATAGTGACTTCTGCTTTTTTGCCAGTTGTCAAGACTGCTCTCAGGTACCAGGGAAAAGATGCACATCACTTCACATGGAGTTCCTTAATCTTCATATCTTCCCACATTGCTTTTCCAAAGCAGGTGTGTCCAGCAAGAAAAGGATTACAATGAAAACAGAAGGCCTGCTTCTCTGCCTCTTCATCCTCCCATGTAATTTTTCCCTTATATATTTTCCAACCACCACATTGCTGAGAGGAGGAAAATGGCTCTACCTCCTAAGTCAGATTTGGGATTTGGAGTTGGTAAGTTTTTGCTCCTTTGTCCTATAGAAAACCTCCTAGGAGAGATTCAGAAAACCTCCTAGGAGAGATTCAGCATTCAGGGCAGCTTTTCCCTCACTCCACCCAGTTTCCATTTCATTTGATTAAGTTTTAAGAATTCCCGGCAGTGATAATAGTCACATTGCAAAGGAAACCTTTGAAATACGTGTGAACAGCAAGCTTATGTGAACATCCTCCACATTTATGGAGGTTGTGAAAGAGAAATTTGAGCAGGACAGAAGTTACATGTTTTGCATGCTGCTCAACATATGTTTAAACTAAATATATGTTTGATTTGGGTTTAGTTATATGACTTGTGCCAAAAAAAAAAAAAAAAGATCAGTTCACCAATCAAATACAGATATCATGAAATAACAGTATTGATTAGAACTTTTAAACATTTTAATTATAAAATAAACAAGTTAAATGTCATGAAGCAGATATTATTCCGACCTGGCAACTAATAAACAATTTATGTAAGCAGAAATTCAGACTGAATAAATCTTGCTTCTTTCTTTTTTGAAAACACATGGGGACAAGCAAAGCAGTTATACAATTTGTTTTAAATGGCTTGGATCCAGACTTTACTCCCAGCAGTTGGAATCAAGTTTTGGGAAGAGTGATGTGCATTTTTAGGAAGAGCAATGTGTAGTTATTTTCTGATGTGCATTTGCAAATTTCTTTTCCAAGAGATTTTCAGTAGAGAGAACTTGAAAACCAAATGGAGAAAGAAGCACAACTGATAGATTCAGTCATCCAGGCAGAAGGCTTTGTGTGATTATGTCTGGTTTTGTGCCCCTGTGTCTTCAACCCTTTACTGCTGAATTATAGCATTGTTTCCTCTTTTTCTGATATCTTCTTCTTTAACAGCTATATGACAGGTAGGTACAACATATATCTATTGAATCTGAATGTTGTAGACTAATGCAAATGTTTTTGACAAGAACTTGCCAAAATTTACACATTTCCTGAAAATTTTAATAAAAAGAACATGAGGTCTAAAAATTCTGTGTGGGAGAAAGTGTAACTGACAGATTTGTGCAGCCCTAGTGGAATTCACTACTTCAGGCAGAAAGGGTAAGAAACCATTCTATGTTCCCTGCATAGGCATCAGCCCTTGCACCTTCCAAAAGTTTGCCCTGAAGCTTCCAGAACATGTTGGAAAAGAAACTAGGGACTCTTGTTTGAGAGGATAAATCAGCAACAGTCACTGCCATCCTCCTGCAAACAAGACCCTTCCCCTGGATCAAAAGCCTCCCATGGAGACAAGCAATCTTTTCAAAATTTTAATCCAATCCAATGAAATTAAACAAAAGATGTTTGGACATTGTGAAAGACAGAGGGCAGGTGTTTGGTGCTGTTTAGAACAAGAGTAGAGGCTTCTCCCACTCTGTGGACCCTGGCTTAAATTAATTTGTTAAATATTTGTTAGTTTGTAAACTGCCAAGTTCCCAGTGACTCTGTGAGTCTACTTGTTTTGATACTAACATTTTGATTTAGGCCCCTGACTCCTACAGGAGTAAGGAAAATCTTTAACCTAGCTTTATCAGTAACACCATGATGCTATTTAGTGCATTTATTTTGTTATTGTTATGTGCCTTCCAAGTTGACTTTATCTTTTGGGAAGACTGATTCAGAGCGAGTTTGCCATTGCCTTTCTCTGAGGCCAAAAGGGTAGGACTTGTTCAAAGTCCCCAGTAGTTTCCATGGGTGAATGGGGATTTGAACCCTGGTCTCCTGGAATCCTAGCCCAACATTCAACCCACTGCACCACACTGCCTTATCAGTAAAATCAATGTGCTGTGTATTAGACTTAGGACTTACTTGGTGTGACTGGCTATTTGACAATGTTTGTGCTCAGGCAAAACAATCTGTGGCAGCTGATCAGTCAGCCATTTGACTAGCATTTGGTCCCTAAGTGAATACTATTCCCACTGATATTTCATATTTGACTACAATCCACAGAACTCCTTCACACTAAGAAAGCATTTTTCTTTTATCCTCCAAAGATACTCTCCCCAACAATTTTTTAAATGTTCTAAAAACAATGGGGAATGGAAAAGATGCATCCTCAACAAAACAGAGAGAGTTGTGCATATGCTTTGCTTTGGTTGCATCCCTATCTTATGGCCAGTCACTCAACTGAATATTGTCCTGGGCACTGTGAACATGTTACCACTTGATTCAAGGCCTGCAGTGCATTTAAAGATCAAAGAAATCTTCTTTATCGTCTCCAAAGGACCAGGAGGGGGGTTATTTTGATTATTAGCAAAGCTGAATATTCATTCCTATACCCTCGCTCTAGCACTCTGGCATCAGTGTGACATCTCCCTGAGTTTTAACTAGAACATTTGAGGTGGTTCATCTGAGGTATCCCATCAGTGCAAGTGTCTAGTTTTAGTCAAACACATGCTGGGGATTTGTTGCACAAATTAATCCTTGGCCAGTGTCAATATGGTATAATGTGTGAGAAGGATATAACAGCTGGCAGTGTTTAGAAGTTGCTTTCTCATGTATTTTCCACTCTCTCTGTGTATATTTTTCTTATTTAATGTACAATAACTGACATACAGCAAACAAAAACCCAAATTATTAAAAGCCCACCCTTCTCAGCTAAGATCTTATGTATATGATAGTCCATGCCCCCCTTGCGAATTTCTCATGCTGCAAGCTTTGGGGTAGAACATCAAATATGAAATGAGCCCTGGTGGTGCAGTGGTTAAATGCCTGTACTGCAGCCACTCACTCATAGATCACAAGGCTGCGAGTTCAATACTAGCCAGGGCTCAGGCTAGACTCAGGCCTGCATCCTTCTGAGGTTGCTAAAATGAGTACCCAACTGTTGGGGGGCAGTGAGCTTACAGTTGTAAACTGCTTAGACATTCCATAGCACAATATGAAGCGGTATATAAATGAAGCTGCTTTGCTTTTGCTTTGCTAAATCGTAAGAACAAAACACAGTAGCCTAAATACAATTGCTAGTCCCAGCAATATCAACCTTAATCCCAATAGGGTTACATTAATGTTCAGTGATTGTTCCACGGTTTTACTTTAGTTGGAGCAAGCAATTGAATTTAGGCCAGTATGTTATAAAATGAGGACTCATGTCAGGAAAACCCCATGTTCTAGCTGAGCCAACTCTGCCATTTTCACTTCTATAGGTAAGATATTGTTTTTTGCTTGGCTTCCTTTTTAAACTGAAGGCCATGGTTAGCCAGAGCCTATTCATGTAATGTTAAGATGACTTGATTATAATCTTAAAACCTATAACCTGTGTAGGGGAAAAGTCACATCTGCTGATTTGCTCACTGGATAATTACAAGACTCTGTAAAACTCAGGCCAAAAAAAAGCAATGACTGATGCTTTGCTAAATCATGCGTATATGAACTACAAAAACGTCTTGACTGCAAGAGAGGTTTTCTGCACTCTAAGCAGAGTGGCCATCTCTCAAGATTTTGCTTACAGAAATACCTTTAAGAATATAGCGTAATGATTCAAATATTGGTATTGTCACCCGACACAATCAAGGGATTTAAATGGAGGAGTAAATTTCTTTTTAAAATGATTACACATGGGTGTTTGATGTTTTTCTGTTCTTTGGAGATTGTTCTCTTGTTGTTCTCTAATGCTGTTTAGGGACTGCTCTATTCAAAGTGAAATTTCCATACCCGCACCGGCTTCCTTTGTTGTTCTGTGCCTTCTAGTTGACTCCGACTTATGGCAACCCTATCTTCAGGCTTTATTGGAAAGATTTATTCAGAGGAGGCTTGCTATTGCCTTTATTGAAGGTTGAGAGAATTTGATTTGCCAAAAATCTTTTACTCTACTCAGTTTCTGAGCGGAAATTCAAAGCCTGGTTTACTGATTTAGTTCAAGGCTAGGAGCAAAGGAAGGGGGAAAACATACTTGCCCCCAGGGTTTCCCGATTCTCAGGGATTGACCGTACTGCTAGCTCCCACATCAGTCCAACAACTGACATACAGCCCACACCACCTCCCTCCCACTGCAAGGAGGGAACTGCCGAAATGGAACATTTGCAGCTACAAGCCACATTCTGCCATTATTTTTTTCCTGCCCCATGCATATACACACAAGCACAAAGATGCACTGCCAGCAGCCATTAATCCCCGCCCTTGTCCTGCCCAGCCACTAGCCCAGGGATAGGCAACCTTTCCCCTTTAAGGGCCGAGGGACTTCAGCTCCCAGAATCCCAGGAGCTATTGGCCAACATGGGACTATTGGCCAACATGGCTGAGGCTTCTGGGAGCTGAAGTCCCTCGGCCCTTAAAGGGGAAAGGTTGCCTACCCTGCACTAGCCCATTCAACCAACTACACAAGCAGCTGTTTGATTGCACAATCGATTGGATACCCATAGGGCACATCAGTGCACTCAGTGACACACTGGTACAACATATCATGGAGACTCCACTGTACATACCCCCCTTTCTTCTCCTTCCCTTCCCTCCATGGCTCCCTGTTGTACTGGCCAGTTTGTAATGTTTTTAATAAATCCATTGTATTGTTGGTATTGTATTGTCATTATTTTGCTTCATAATAATAATAATAATAATAATAAAATTTATTTATATCCCACCTCTCTGTAAGGCGGCTTACAAGATAAAACAATCCCATCCCCCATTAGCCCACCCTGCAAAAATACAATTAAACAGACAGAATATAAAAACATACTTTAAAATTACAAAAACAAATAATTTAAAATAGCTACAATGAAAATCAGGGACAGGCATAACTATTTTCGGTGGCCAGTTACCTACTCAGCAAACGCCTGCCAGAAGAGTTCCATCTTAACAGCTTTTTAAGCCCTGGAGTGTGGCTTGGGTCCATTTTCCTCCTATTTCAGTTCCGTGTGTCATCTAAACAGGTAGGTTTCAAAACAGGATGAGGCCATTTCTTTTAGCCTATGCAGACAACTTCAAAAACTCAAACCACCACACTACACTGGCATCTTCCTATCTGATCCTAGAAAGGGAATGGGGGGAGGAACATAGAAGAAGCTTTTTAGAACAAGTGATTTATTTTAGTCTGAGGTTTTGTAGATTTTAGTCCATCGATCACTGAATCTGAGGAAGTAAAATTACCAAAAGTTCAGGAGTGAAACCTCAGGCCAATAGAAAGCTTCAAAGATGCTGCTAGATTCCTTCTTCTCTTCCCCCCCCTTTCCTATTTCCACAGAATAAAATGACAGACTAAGAGTCTGTAGTTTTAATTACTTTTAATTACTTTTAATTACCTATCTTTCTCAATTCCATTGTATCTTGGCTCATTAGTCAGTAGTTTAGAAGCTCAACCCATTAGTAGACAAGGAAAAGTCCTTCTCCAGATCACTTGTGGTGACCATTTCTTTTAAATCCTACTGGTCTAATGATCTGTTTAGAGACCAGGGTTGAGAGAACCATGAGGCTATAACACTGATGACACCCCATCACCTGCACCTACAAAATGAATAAAACCATGCATTATCTTATGTCGTGAGACAGTCTGTTTCCTTACGGCATCATTCTACCCCTAACTCAGGTACCTCTTATACTTATTCTCCCTCTCTTGGAACCTCGTCATCACTTTTCTGAAATCTGTATTTCACTTTCCAAACTATAGTGCTGGTGTTTTTTTTTGTTTTGTTTTGTTTTATGTAGCCTGTGAATTATTTCTCTCTTAATAAATTCAGAACTGAGGATGCACAGCATAAGAAGGATGTGCAACATAATGTATGTAACCTTAAAACCCCATGTTTATATCAGTTTAAGATATTACAGTAAATCAGGTTGAATGGAAGCATTAAGACTGAAAAATGTCTGCATTAATATAAGCTGACCATATCCCCTCCACACACAAAAAAATCTGTTAAATCTACATCTGTAAAATACATGTTTACATAGATAAAGCAGTAAGCAGTAGGATCCAGACTTCCATTGTGGTCTTAATAATTAAAATATCTCTACTTTTTTAATAAAAGGGAAAACAGAAGTGTAGGGATCCCAGTCACATTTGTAGTATTAACCTTGCAGTGCAGCTCTATACATTTGTACTCAAAAGTAAACTATTTTACTCACTGGGCTTTAGTTTACATGTGGGCATGTTTGCACATTTGGCAGAGGCGATATATAGTGTCTCTCAAATCAAGAGGATGATTAATCCATTCTGGGCTTTATTCCAAATCTTAAAGGATATATATGGGGTTGAACCTATTTTGGAATAGGGTTTGGGATTCTATAGAGTTCTTTATACATTCATTTTAAAACCTGAAGCAGATACACTACCCCACTGGCACAGGAGATAGCATTGTTTGGCATGCTTTGATCAGACAACTAACAAACTTTTTTTAAAACTTTTCAATTAAAACAGCATTTATTTAAATAATTTTATTCCAGAATTTACTCTAGAGATCTATGTGCCCCTAAATCTTTTATGCACCTAATGCTAAACAAACAGCTCAGGAGAAAAAAAGCGTTCTTGACCATCTGAATGCATAAGTAGGGTCTTAATAATGCACAATATGTTTTGTCAACTGCCCTCAAGCTGACCTTGACTCATGATGACCCTATGGATTTATTTATTTATTTATTTATTTATTTGTAGCATTTATACCCTGCTCTTCAGCCACAAGGGCTCTCAGAGCAGCTTACATATGGTTAATTAGATGATTCCCTGCCCTCAGGCTTACAATCTAAAAAGACATGACACAAAAGGAGAAGGGAATGGCACTGGGGAAATGGATCAAGTCCAGCAGTTCTTCTTTCCCTCTGAGGCCAGAACCATGG